TTTGAAAATATTTAGATAAATTAATAAACGCACTCAATTTACATGTATCCCACTAAATATTATCTCTTAAACATTTTTTATGATAAAACTATAATTTATAGTTTTTTGCACATCTATTTTTTAAAATTATAACTACAAAAATTACCAAAATATCAATTATATATTTAATAGCCTTCGTTACTAAAACCATCATAGCACGGTTCCGCTTCCAAAACTTCCAAATCCGCCACAATCCTACGGATCCATAAACTAATTCAAATATATGAATATTAATTTTATTTTATTTTCATTTTTTAGCATTTAAAATTAAAAAGAATGAATATTAATAATCACCATGACGTTTTTGACGTTTAAAAGATGCCTTGATTTGAGAAAAAGGGAAGGAAATCATTGAAAAGTTATGACACTTATATAGCTACCATTATCCAATTGGAAAGTTATGGCTTGCAAACTTACATTTCGGTCCTTATTCCTAGAAACATTATAATTTAATACAAATCATCAAAGTTAATTAATCAATTAGATCCCTCCTCGTGACTAAAATAATTTTTGATAGGCTACTTATTTTTATTAGAATTATATTAAATGAACTGTTGTAGCCAAGATTCTATCATGGAAGTATAATTTGGAACCAAGATTCTGAGGAAATTATATGGCTCTTCCGCTACTTGTTTTGCTACATTTGTAAACAACCATATCATATATTATTACTAACTATGCTAAAAGAACAGAAGAATTCACTGTTCATAGAAATAATATGAATCTTTTAATATTGGTTATCGAATTTTATTAACTATAATTTCATCTTTTCAGATTTCATTAGCATGAGATGTTGAAATTTCTTTTAATTTGTATTTTCTTACATATGCAATGTGTTGAGTCATATTTTAGTGATGAGTTAAATATTAATTTTGAGAAATAAAAATTTATTTGTAGTAAAAATATAAATTAAAAATAAATGACTCACATGTAAGCAACAAAAGAAAATCATGATTGCTGTCTAGATTTAAGCAAATCTATAGTGCATTTTTGACATGTAAATTCAATATATATATATATATATATATGAAATAAAGTGTAAAGCATGCTGGTAAATTGTACATAGCACACATACATGATTGTTGTGCACTTTCTTTGTTGATGGATTAATAAAAAGTGTGCTTGTTGCTCAAATTACTTATTCTGATTAGTGGTTGGAAAATCAAGCAACTAGATTTTTAGTTAAAAATATTTATTTTAAAGTTATTTTAATTTAAAGACACCATACCAACACTTTTATAACACCCACAAATTATTTCGTCAACTCTAAATACCAAAAAAATTATAAAATAAAAACTCAAAATTAAATCGATTTAGTTTTGGTTTTCTTAGCTCAGATCTAGTTTTTCATACAATATTGAGCCTCTAAACAACTATCATGAAACCCTTATTATCTCATAGAACTCGTAGACACCAAGAAAACCTATTTTAATAGCTAGAAATGAAGTGAATGATAACTTTCTCTCTCTTCAGTAGAATCTAACAACCCCTCTCTCTCCTCTCTCTAATCAAATGATTGAAAAATAACATAAATGAATTTATGTATTGACACGACTAAAAGATTGATGTCTTCTCCCAAGTGCAGGAGTGTCGAAGTAATAAATAACCCGACAAGATCGGGGTCGAACCACAGGGAGGTTAATTGTACAAATTATAAATAACAATAATACAACAACAATAACAATAACAATAACAATAATAATAATAATAACAATAATAATAATAATAATAATAATAATAATAATAGTAGTAGTAATAATAATAATAATAATAATAATAATAATAATAGTAATAATAGTAGTAGTAATAATAATAATAATAATAAAGAAAGAGAAGAAGAAGAAGATGATGAGAGCTTAGAGATGGAAAATTAATGTAAGGATTAAACAATAATAATAACAAATGTCAAGGTTAGAGGTTCCATTAATGGTATACCAAACAAGTATAGTATAAACTCTTATTATTGAATTGGAAACCACACACAAAGGAGGTTCCAATCAGATTATATATTGTTAACATGATTACATTAGTCATCTTATTCAATTAATGCTAATACTTGTAAATCTCGTCAAGCATTCATGATTATAACTTATGTTAACAATAAATCAAGTTCCTTTCATAGCTCAGGTGTCGGTTATACCATACATTATGGGCTATGAAAGTGCCAAGCATTTGTTGTACCAAGTGTTATACAACATAAATCAAGATTAGTCATTTAACAAGCAAAGTATTAAAGAGTGAACAAGATAACAAATATAAAACATGTTAGTATCAAACATTAAAGTCCATATTAAGTTTACATTATACTTATTCTTACACCATTAGTGTAACCTTTTCACCTTGACATAATTAACTTAGCTAGACATAATGAAAGAAAGGAAAACAAATAAACAAAATAAGAACATAAAAGTTAACTAAGTAAAGGAAAGGAAATGAAAGGCATAAACTTGATATTAATGAAAGTAAAGCATAAACATTACAAAAAATACAAAGAGAGAAAAGAAGAGCATGATCTTGATCTGGAAACCAAGATGCCTAAATGCATGGCAAATGCCTCCTTTTATAGGCCAAAATTGGGAACTATTGATTTGATGACTAATTGATAAGTGGGTGACCAACTTTTGACTTGGTGACAATCCTTATCTTCTCTTGTCTGCCCACAACGTCATTGATAACGTCAAAACTGGAGCCACTTGCAAACATGAAAGTTGTAGGAAATTGTCTCAGCTTTCTTGTGTAAAAAATTCAGCTCATTTGGACTTCTAGAACTCCAGATATGGCCAAAATACCGAACAGTGCTCGGGCTGGAAGACAGATTCGGGCTTCTTTGTTGTTGCTACAATTTGGGCTTGATAATGGCCTTTTTAGATCTTGGGCTCCATATGAAAGTTGTAGGTCTATGTCTTACCTTGCCATCCATATAAATTGGACCTAAATCTGAGATCTGTAGCTCCAGATATAACCCAATTACCAAACAGTGTTCTGGTTTGGATTGCACCGACATCTCTTCTCTAAGTTTGACCATCTCTTTATCCATGCAATTTAAGTTCTTCAAGTCATCAATCAATCCTTTCATTTATGTGATAGACCTGCATTAAAAATAGACATTTACCACAAATTATAGGTATCTTATCTTATTAGATACATTATTATAAAACATATTTTAGTTAAGGAGTTATTTATACTTCAAGTGCAAAATGATGATATAAAACCATGATAAAAACGTACTTTTAAGTACTAATCATGTATCAAAGTTGATTTTAAAAAATTTAAGGGGACTTAAATTGTAGACATTGTGTTATTTTTAATGATCAAGAACTTAAGTGTATTTTTAATGTAATATATAACATGTCATTTATATTTGATCTTTTTTTTATAATGATCCCCTTTCTTTTAATTTTATCGTTGACTAAGAATTCAAATGCATTTAGTCTTTAATTAGAATTAAATCGTATAAAATAAATTTTGAGGATCAAAATAAATTATTAAAAAATACACAATATATCTATAGTATTTTGTGAGTATATATACAGTGTCGACTATATAAAACACTCCATGTTTTTTATATTTTTACTTATTTATTTATACTTAAGATTTAAGAACTTCATTCCAATAAATTAGTTTTCCTTGTTGTTGTGGGTCCGCTTAATAGTACTATCTTAAGAAAATAAATTCAAATAAAATCCTTGGAAACTTGAGCTTTGAACAACAAAGCTCAATTGTAGCCCTTTAGATCACTAATTTATAAGATATTGTCAAGCAACTTTTTTTTATAGTACATCATTCCAATCAATTTTGTCTTGTATTATAAGATGGAATACAGTTAGGATAAGCATGAAAATTAAAGCTTCTATAAATATGAATACCCCCATTACATCGAAACTCATTGCCCATGGATAAAGAAAAACCGTTTCAACATCAAAAACAACAAAAACTAGAGCAAACATATAATAACGGATTCGAAATTGTAACCAAGCATCACCCATTGGTTCTATACCGGATTCATAACTAGAAAGTTTCTCTAGTCCTTTTCTAATTGGGGATAAAAGGCCCGAAATTAGAAATGCCAAAATAGGAATAACACTTGATATTATTAGAAATGCCCAGAAAATATCATATTCGTAAAGCAGAAACATGAGTGCACTCCTATGAATGTAGAAAATATACTAGATTATTCGAGTCCAATTGAAATTAATTGTCAACTCATTCATAACTGTTTAGTCAAAATAACAATTTATTTTAATTGAACTGCTTAATTTTGTTTGCTTTGGTACATGTCTCATTTCAAGATTCATTGACTCGAATTGTTCCATTTACTTCAATTTTATTTCAATATCAATTATCAATTATAAATATATATTGTTATTTCTCTTATACCTTATACCTTATACAAATAAGTACAAATAAGACTTTTTCTCGATTTTTCATCTCACTTCGGATTCTCTATAAAAATTTATAAAAATAAAAAAAGAAAGAATTTAAATTAAAATATTTAAATTAAAATTAAAATACAATTATAGAATTTTTAATAAAATACTAATCTATATAAAAATAGAAAATACTATACCTATATTCTATATGTAATAGAGTACCTCTACCTATATAATATGGAATATATATATATATTTTATTCTAAATTTAATATTTAATAATATTTAATAATAAATATAATATAATAATAAATATAATAATAAATATAATATAATAAATAATATTAAATATAATAAATAATTATAATAAATAATATTAAACATTAATAAAATAGGATCTTATATTAACTATTAACTAAATTATACTTCTATTCTATTCTATTATACTTCTATTCTAGAGAATTCTATTCTATATTCATTTCGCATTTCAAATTATACTTCTATATTCATTTAGAAATTAATATAAATATATTAATATATTAATTAAATTAATTAAATTTAGTAATTGAATGTTACGACAAGAAAAGACTCCTTTTATTGCTATACCAGGTAAGGTATCGCAATAAAAGAAAAAAGAAGAGCCCGTTTTACAATGTTAATAATGAAAGTTAATAAAGATCCTCATTTTTCAAACTCCAGCTTGTCCATAAATAGAGTAAGTCATTTTTAAATCTGTGTAACTTACTAGTAGATTTGATTTTTGTTGAGTTAGGTTGGAATTTGTTTTTAAATGAGTTCGTGTCATGATTTTGACTCCAAAAATTCATTAGGCTTCGGCAGGTATCCCAAAGACAAAGAAAAGAAGTATCACTAACTCTTTTTGATTGCGGATAAGAAAGGGGAAAAATTCATATGTAATTGACTTAGGAAGAGTAATGAAGAAAATTGGGTTTGTTTAGCCAAGACAAGATAAAAAAAAAAATAGCGATCGGGTCTATTGAAGTGCACTTTTTTTTTATTTCAGCTTTATACTCTATCCTGAATGATTCCTGCGAGCAAGCTTATGAAAATGCTTTTTTTTTTCATTTTTTGATAAACTAAGCAATTGCAAGCGGTTAGTTACAAACAACAAACAATACAATAATGAAGAAATAAAAACTATACAATTTTTGTTTTTGTATTTGAATTTTATTTCATTTTTTTTAGGGCTATACGGACTCGAACCGTAGACCTTCTCGGTAAAACAGATCAAACTGATTATTCTCAAAATGATTTGAATTGTTTCAAAGACCCAACATGTATTTTTTTGCATTCGGCTCTTCCATTAACTGATATAAATAATCAGTTAGTCTACCATAATTCTCTTGACAAGAAGATAAGAAGATGGCTCCATGTGCTCTGATTTCTTATTTGGATTCCGATCTGAGAGCACTACCGAAGTGTTTCAAAGAAGGTATCCTGATGTAAGTTTGCTTTTGGCTTAGATCAACCTAAGTTAAATGAAGTCTCCATCGCCCCCTTGTTACTTAAATAATCCAATATGAAACTTCATACACCTTAAAGTTCATAAGATAAGACGAAAAAAGAATTTTTTGAGGTCTTTATACTCATTATGCCTAGCATTGAATAGAGTGAGTATTCCCCTTATCAATATCTTAAATCAATAATGGGTTCTATTGGTTGCCTAAAATCTAAAAATAAAAAAGGGGCACCTAAATTGGACCGAATCTTTTGTTAGGCTATTGTTCTCTTGTTCCCTAAAAGTCATGGAGTAAGACATCAACTTCTCAATAAGTTTTTTGATTCCATAATGTACTCCTCTGAAAAAACATCAGCGCGCGTGTAAACGAGGTGCTCTACCTAACTGAGCTATAGCCCTTTTACTTGTGATATATATTCTATCATGTTAATAATTTCTTGTCAAGATGAATATTACATGATCCAACTTTTATCTCTTTGATCGGTATTGCTTATAAATAATATTACATTTATAATTCATCGATGTGACGGGTTCCATTTCTTTCTCTTTTTTATTCTAAATTACCTACGTAACTCAGTGGTTAGAATATTGTTTTCATACGGCGGGAGTCATTGGTTCAAATCCAATAGTAGGTATAACTTATTAGATATCCGAATCCATGGTATCTAATAAGTTTTTCTATCCGCCTTAATTTTATTGATTTTTGATCTTTTCTATTCCATTATATTTCTCTTTCTCTATTTCATTTTTGAATTTGAAAATTTTTCGTTGTAGTTGTATTAGATAGAATCCGATTCCATTTATGATTCTATTCAATTTGCAGAATAAAAAAATAAGATGTATAAACAGAACTTATGTTTATACATAAGTTTTTCTTTTGATTATTCGGGCGCACCGCCAACTGGTTATAGTTACGAAATCACATTGATAGCCTCTACTCGTGCTCTAGCTCGTCTGAGAGCTAGATTTGCCTTAATTATTTGTCTCTTGCCTTCCGCTTTCCTCAAGTTAGCTTCTGCTATTTCAAGAGTTTGCTGAGCTTTTTGTGGATCAATCTCACTCCCCTTCTCCGCATCATTTACTAAAATAGTAACCTCATTATTGCCTATTCTAGCAAAACCACCCATCAGAGCCATCGTTAACCATTGGTCATTAAGGCGTACTCTCAAAATACCGATATCAATGGCTGTGGCAATAGGTGCGTGATTAGGTAATACACCACTTTGCCCACTATTAGTAGATAAAATGATTTCTTTCACTTTTGAATCCCAAACAATTTGATTCGGGGTCAATACATAAAGACTTAAGATCATTTCTTCAAGTTGTTCTCCATTTCTAAGTTCGTAGCCTTTGCAGTAGCTTCATCAATGTTACCTACTGATAAGTACTTAAAAGTGCATTTTTATCAAGGTTTTATATCATCATTTTGCACTTGAAGTATCAATAACTCCTTAACTAGAGCATGTTTTATAATAATATATCTAATAATATAAGATACCTTTAATTTATGGTAAATGTACATTTTAAATATAGGCCAATCACATAAATGAAAGGATTGATTGATGAATTTAAGAACTGAAATTGAAAGGATAAAGAGATGGCCAAACTTAGAAAAGAGATGTCGGTGCAATCCAAACCGGAACACTGTTTGGTAATTGGGTCATATCTGGAGCTATAGATCTCAGATTTAGGTCTACTTTATATGGATGGAAAGGTAAGACATCGGCCTACAACTTTCATATGGAGCCCAAGATCTAAAAAGGTCATTTTCAAGTCTAAATTGTAGCAACAACAAAGAAGTTCGAATGTATCTTCCAGCTCGAGCACTGTTCAATGTTTGGCCCATATCTAGAGTTCTAGAAGTCGAAATGAGTTGAAGTTTTTACATAAGAAAGCTGAGATAATTTCCTACAACTTTCATGTTTCGAATATGTCTACAACTTTCCTGTTTTCAAGTGGCTCCAATTTTGACGTTATCAATGACGTTTTGGGCAGACAAGAGAAGATAAGGATTGTCACCAAGTCAAGAGTTGGCCACCCACTCATCAATTAGTCATCAAATCAATAGTTCTTAATTTTGGCCTATAAAAGGAGATATTTTCCATGCATTTAGGCATCTTGGTCTCCAAATCAAGATAATGCTCTTGCTTTCTTTCTTTGTATTTTTTGTAATGTTTATGCTTTGCTTTCATTAATATCACGTTTATGCCTTTCATTTCCTTTCCTTTACTTAGTTAACTCTTATCTTATTTATGTTCTTATTTTGTTTATTTATTTTTCTTTCTTTTATTATGTCTAGCTAAGTTTATTATGTCAAGGTGAAAAGGTTACACTAATGGTGTAAGAATAAGTATAGTGTAAACTCAATATGGACTTTAATGTTTGATACTAACATGTTTTGTATTTGTTATCTTGTTCACTCTTTAATACTTTGCTTGTTAAATGACTAATCTTGATTTATGTTGTATAACACTTGGTACAACAAATGCTTGGCACTCTCATAGCCCATAATGTATGGTATAACCGACACCTGAGCTATGAAAGGAACTTGATTTGTTGTTAACATAAGTTATAATCATGAATGCTTGACGAGATTTACAAGTATTAGCATTAATTGAATAAGATGACTAATGTAATCATGTTAACAATCTATAATCTGATTGGAACCTCCTTTGTGTGTGGCTTCCAATTAACTAATAAGAGTTTATACTATACTTGTGTGACATACCATTAGTGGATCCTCTAACCTTGACATTTATTGTTATCGTTGTTAAATCTTTACGTTAATATTTTATCTCAAAGTTCTCATCTTCATCTTCATCTTCTTCTTTTTCTTTATTATTATTATTATTATTATTATTATTATTACTACTACTACTACTACTACTACTACTAATACTGTTGTTATTATTATTATTATTATTATTGTTATTATTATTGCTGTTATTACTATTATTATTGTTGTTGTTGTTAATTATTATTATTATTACTATTGTTGTTGTTGTTATTGTTGTTGTATTATTGTTATTTATAATTTGTACAATTAACCTCCCTGTGGTTCGACCCCGATCTTGTCGGGTTATTTATTACTTCGACACTCCTGCACTTGGGAGAAGACATCAATCTTTTAGTCGTGTCAAGTTTTTGGCACCGTTGCCGGGGAGGTAAGTTCTTGTATAAATTATAGTAGTTATTTTATTTTCTCTTTTCACTTTTCTTGTATATAACTTTGTTTCTTTTCGCTTATTTCTTCTTCTTTTGTTTTCTTTTTCCTTTTATTCTATTCCTACACGTGCATGAGAGTGTGGTCACGTACATCAAGTGGTAGACTTTGTAGGATATCCTCATCATTTTCAGAAAATATGGCCGAAGAAAATAATCAATCACTTCAAAATGAGAATAATAAGAATAATTAATCACTTCATAATGAAAATAATGAGAATAACCGTGCTAGAACACTTAGAGACCACATGAATCCCACAAGAACAAGTGCACCATCATGCATAGTTTTTCCTCCCGATGCATCTCATTTTAATTTTAAGCCAGACATTATTCAACTTTTACCATCTTTTCATGGCTTGGAATTGGAAAATCCATACTTGCATTTAAGGGAATTTGAAGAGGTCTGCAACACATATAATAATTTAAATTGTAGCATGAACACCATCAGATTAAAGCTTTTTCCTTTTTCATTAAAAGATAAAGCTAAAGCATGGCTACAAAATTTAAGCCCAGGATCCATTCGTGCTTGGGATGAAATGCAACAACATTTTTTGAAGAAGTTTTTCCCATCTCATAGAACAAACTCTTTCAAAAGACAAATCACCACTTTCACTCAAAAACCAGGAGAAACATTTTACCAATGTTGGGATAGGTATCGAGACTTGCTTAGTACTTGCCCTCATCATGGTTTTGAAACATGGAGATTGGTTTCACATTTCTATGAAGGGTTAACACCTAAAGATAGGCAAATGGTTGAATTGATGTGCAATGGAACTTTTGAAGATAAAGACCCTGATGAAGCAATGGAGTACTTAGACTTGTTAGTTGAAAATGCTCAAAATTGGGACACCGCGGGTACTTATGAGGCACCGAGTAAAACTCAACCTCATACATCTAGTGGAGGTATGTACAACCTTAGGGAAGATCATGACCTTCAAGCCAAGTTTGCATCTTTAGCTAGAAAAGTCGAGGCACTAGAATTGAAAAAGAGTGGTCAATTAAAATCTATTGAAAACATTGTGTGTCAAATCTGTGAAACAAATGAACACTCAACCAATGATTGTCCAACCTTGCCTTCTTTTAAGGAATGTCTTCATGAACAAGCCCATGCTTTAAACAATTTCCAAAGGCCCAACCATAACCCATACTCGCAAACATACAACCCTGGTTGGAGAAATCACTCAAATTTTAGTTGGAAGAGTGAGAACAACAATGCACAAACTTCACAACCACCGTTTCAAGCACACCACAATTTCCAAAATTCTCATGGATATGCACCTCCTTATGCTCCACCTCCTAGAAGAAATCTTGAGGAAATATTGCATGCATTCATTGAAAAGCAAGAGACAATCAATACTTAACTTGCTCAAAACATGATAGATTTTAAAGATACTCTTGCAAAATTAACATCTGCTCTCAGTTTCCAAGAGAAAGGTAAGTTTCCATCTCAACCACAATAAAATCCCAGGGGGCAATACAATGCAAATGCAAGTAGTTCTGGAAGCCAACACATGGATCAAGTCAAATCAGTCACTACTCTGCGCAGTGGTAAGGTTATTAAAAAACCCTCTCTTAAACCTTATGAGAAGGATGATGAGTCAATCTCTAAGGGTAAGAAAGGGGTTGAATCTGAAAATTGCAAAGAAACGACTGATTCACCACCAGCACTTCCATTTCCTCAAGTCATGACCAAACAAAGGAAAGTCAATCACAACTCTGAAATTTTTGAAATTTTCAAACAGGTAAGGATCAATATACCTTTGTTGGATGCAATTAAACAGGTTCCTTCCTATGCTAAATTTTTAAAAGATCTATGCACTATGAAGAGGAAACTGAATGTGAAAAAGAAAACCTTTTTAGCTGAACAAGTAAGTGTTATTCTTCAGAACAATAATGCTTTGAAATATAAAGACCCTGGTTGTCCTACAATTTCTTGCTTTATTGGAGAGCATAAAATTGAAAGAGCCTTACTTGATCTCGGTGCTAGTGTGAATTTACTTCCATATTCAGTTTTTCAGAGTCTCAATCTAGGTGAGTTAAAACCAACTTCTATATCTCTTTTACTTGCCGATAGATATGTAAAAGTGCCTAGAGGAATAATTGAAGATGTGTTAGTACAAGTCGATAAATTCATTTATCCTATGGATTTTATTGTCTTGGACACAGAACCTGCTGAAGCATGTAATTCATTTCCTGTTATTTTAGGACGTCCGTTTCTTGCAACCTCTAACGCATTGATTAATTGTAGGAATGGACTGATGAAGCTATCATTTGGAAACATGACATTGGAGATGAATATTTTCAACATTTACAAGCAACCTGGAGATGATAATGATTTACAAGAAGTAGATCATATTGACGAATTAGTTTATGATCAACTTGAATCTACTTTAAGTAAAAATGAGTTAGATGAATCTGAAGATTTGCAAATGATTTATTCTAAGGAAGAAATCATGGATGAAACATGCACCGAAAATGTTGATGCGAATCTTTTATCAACAGTGACAACAGATTCGACATCTGACATCACACCAATCGATGATTACTTTCCTAACGAATCCTTACTTTCTCTTAGTCCAATGCCTTGGTATGATAAAAATATTAATTTTCTTGCTTTAGGAGATTTGCCAGCTGATTGGAGTACTCAAGACAAAGAAAAGTTTTTGAACGAAGTGAAGAATTTTTATTGTGATGACCCTAACTTATTCAAATATTGTCCTGATCAAATATTTCAAAGATTCATTCCCGACAATGAGGTAAGTAGTGTCATTAAACTTTGTCATTTTGAAGCATGTGGAGGTTATTTCTTGTCAAAAAAGACAACTACAAAAATCTTTCAAAATGGATTTTATTGGCCCACCATGTTCAAGGACACACATGCATTCTGCAAAGCTTGTGAAAATTGTCAAAAGATTGATACTGGTCAAAAAGTTTTGTTTTATAATTCTCAACTCTATTTATTACCTAGTGAGCTAAGATCAAGACGGAGCAATCCTTATGGGGCCTATGATATTGAGAATTCAATGAATGACAATGATTTTAAGAAAAATGGACATCGTTTGAAAGCTTACTTTGATAATTTTCCTAGTGAAAATGAATCAACTAGTTTAAATGATCTTGTAGATAAAGGTTGATTATTTTGATTTTCTTACATTGTTTTTGTGTTTTTTTTTTGAGTGATTTTTGCTAGTTTCTCTCACCGCGGTCAAATGGCGGACAACGGTACTCCGTGACTTAAGTCGGTTCTTTCAGTTTCCCACAATAACTGATATCTGTGTATATATTTTTGCAATTCTTTGAATCTCTCTTCCAATTCTTATTTGAAAATGGACACTAATCTTGAAAAATTGAAAAAGTATTTTCTCGCTCTGCCTGGGTTCTATTGGTTGCCTAAAATCTAAAAGGGCACCTAAATTGGACCGAATCTTTTGTCAGGCTATTGTTCTCTTGTTCCCTAAAAGTCATGGAGTAAGACATCAACTTCTCAATAAGTTTTTTGATTCCATAATGTACTCCTCTGAAAAAACATCGGCGCGCGTGTAAACGAGGTGCTCTACCTAACTGAGCTATAGCCCTTTTGCTTGTGATATATATTTTATCATGTCAATAATTTCTTGTCAAGATGAATATTACATGATCCAACATCCGATTTCTTTTATCTCTTTGATCGGTATTGCTTATAAAGAATATTACATTTATAATCGATTGATGTGATGGGTTCCATTTCTTTCTCTTTTTGATTCTAAATGACCTACTTAACTCAATGGTTAAAGTATTGCTTTCATACGGCATGAGTCATTGGTTCAAATCCAATAGTAGGTATAACTTATTAGATATCCGAATCCATGGTATCTAATAAGTTTTTCTATCCGCCTTAATTTTATTGATTTTTGATCTTTTTCATTCTATTTCATTCTATTTCCTACAAGCTTAGTAACTCAAGTTGCAGATACTGATACGTAGATAGTGCAATGTTTCATTCCCTTAAGCTTTTCTACTTAACCCATATAACAAGCATCAGGCCAATAGCTCCCAAGTCAGTTGAATTTAGGGTATTAGCTGTTAAAACACCCCTTCGGACTTAATTGCTTAAGTTAGGGAGGCTACAAAACCAAATTTATCTACATTTTTATTATCATCAAATTTTTTTTGCTCTTTTTTTTTGTTTTTTTTTAAATTTATTTACTATCCCTTTCCCTTAGTTGTTATCTTTAATAAAAGAACATAAATAATATAATAATCCAATGTGCAACCCACAATCATATGTTGAAGTGTGTGTGTGTGTGTGAAAATGAAGGTTTAAGATATAATAATTCAATGTGCAACCCACAATCATATGTTAAAGTGTGTGTATGTGAAAATGAAGGTTTAAGAATATATGTTAAATAAGTATATGAGCAGAATTAAGTGATAACAATGCTAGAATTTGTAAACCTGAATATTTCAAGAAGTATTCTAATAGACTTTGTTATGAATATTGCATATAACCATTGAAAGCTATTTACCTAGATACGTCTCAAGAGTCAATAAAATTCCTCTATACTCTGTCATCTTAGTAACAACAATTTTGCAAATAGTTTATGAAATAGAAAACATAATTAGTTTTTTATTTACTATCAACTACTACCTTTTTCCCCAAACCAAAACAAGACATTGTCCTTAATGTCCTAAGGTAAAAAGATAGAGCATATAAGACATCACCTAAAACAATGAACGTTGACAAACCTGAAACACATTTAAACAAATATAAGAAACAACAAAACAAAATAATATACTATTAAGAAAACTAAAAGACACAAGTTTTTACAAACTAAGACTGAAATCATAGTTGTGATTGTGGCTCATATCTTCCCTTAGTTTTACATCCAAGAACGGTTTAAACACCCTTTATGGGTCGGGGATAGGCTTCCTATCCAGTTTTCTTAAAAACTGAAAAACAGGGTCTTTTTTAGTCTGATTCCTAAGACTATGTCGAGCATGTTCCTTATGAAAATGGGGTCATAAGTCATGAAATGCACAATGGACATCTCCACTAGGATATGTCTCAAAAGTTAATAAAAGATTATCTAAAGATTCATTATATTTTGAAATAAATCCCGACTTTTGATAATTTTTACAAGCTTTGCAGAATGCATGTGAGTCCTTGAATATGGTTGGCCAATGAAATCCATTTTCAAAGATTTTTGCAGCTATCTTTTTTTACAGGAAATGACTCCCACATGCTTCAAAATGACACTACTTACCTCATTGTTTGGAATGAATATTTGAAATATTTGATCAAGACAATATTTGAATAAGTAAAGGTCATCCCAATAAAAGTTTTGCAAGTTGCTCAAAAACTTTATTTTATCTTGGGTACTCCAATGAGCTGGCAAAAATCTTGAAGTAAGAAAATTAATATTTTTAACAAACTAAGGCATTGAACTAAGAGAAAGTAAGGATTCGTTAGGAAAGTAATCATCAATTAGTGTGATATCGGATGTCAAATCTGTTGTCACTTTTGAGAAAAGATCCGCATCAATATTTTTGGTGCCTTTTTCTTCTGTGATTTCTTTCTTAGAATAAATCATTTGCAAATCTTCAAATTCATCCAACTCATTTTTACTTAAAGTAGATTCAAGTTGATCATAATTTAATTCTTCAATAAAATCTACTTCTTGTAAATCATTATCATCTCCAGTTGCTTGCAAGTGTTGAAATTATTCATCTCCAATGTCATGTTTCCAAATGATAGCTTCATCAGTCCATTCCTACAATTAAACAATGCGTTAGAGGTTGCAAGAAACGGACGTCCTAAAATAACAGGAAATGAATTACATGCTTCAACAGGTTCTGTGTCAAAGACAATAAAACCCACAGGATAAATGAATTTATCGACTTGTACTAACACATCTTCAATTATTCCTCTAGGCACTTTTACAGATCTATCGGCAAGTAAAAGAGATATAGAAGTTGGTTTTAACTCACCTAGATTGAGACTCTGAAAAACTGAATATGGAAGTAAATTCACACTAGCACCAAGATCAAGTAAAGCTCTTTCAATTTTATGCTCTCCAATAAAGCAAGAAATTGTAGGACAACCAGGGTCTTTATATTTCAAAGCATTATTATTCTGAAGAATAGCACTTACTTGTTCGGCTAGAAAGGCTTTCTTTTTCACATTCAGTTTCCTCTTCACAGTGCATAGATCTTTCAAAAATTTAGCATAGGAAGGAACCTGTTTAATTGCATCCAGCAAAGGTATATTGATCCTTACCTGTTTGAAAATTTCATAAATTTCAGAATTGTGATTGACTTTCCTTTGTTTGGTCATGGCTTGAGGAAATGGAAGTGCTGGCGGTGAATCAGTCGTTTCTTTGCAATTTTCAGATTCATCCCCTTCCTTACCCTCAGAGATTGATTCATCATCTTTCTCATAAGGTTCAAGAGAGGGTTTTTCAATAACCTTACCACTGCGCAGAGTAGTGACTGATTTGACTTGATCCATGTGTTGGCTTCCGGAACTACTTGCATTTGCATTGTATTGCCCTTTGGGATTTTGTTGTGTTTGAGATGGAAACTTACCTTTCTCTTGGAAACTGAGAGCAGATGTTAATTTAGCAAGAGTATCTTTAAAATCTATCATGTTTTGAGCAAGTTGAGTATTGATTGTCTCTTGCTTTTCAATGAATGCATACAAAGTTTCCTCAAAATTTCTTGTAGGAGGTGGAGCATAAGGAGGTGCATATCCATGAGAATTTTGGAAATTATGGTGTTCTTGAAATGGTGTTTGTGAAGTTTGTGCATTATTATTATCACTCTTCCAACTTAAATTTGGGCGATTTCTACAACGAGGGTTGTATGTTTATGAGTATAGGTTATGATTGCACCTTTGGAAATTATTTAAAACATGAGCTTGTTCATGGAGACATTCCTTAAGAGAAGGCAATGTTGGATAGTCATTGGTTGAATGTTCATTGGTTTCACAGATTTGATATACAAAGACTTGAACAAATTTTAATTGACCATTCTTTCTTTATCTTCTAAAGTTTCATTGCACATCAATTCAACCATTTGTCTATCTCTAGGTGTTAACCCTTCATAAAAATATGAAACCAATCTCCATGTTTCAAAACCATGATGAGGGCAAATATTTAGCAAGTCTCAATAACTATCCCAATATTGATAAAATATCAAGTGGTAATTTTTAGTGAAAGTGGTAATTTTTTTTTTATATGAAACCAATCTCCATGTTTCAAAACCATGATGAGGGCAAATATTTAGCAAGTCTCAATAACTATCCCAATATTGATAAAATATTTCTCCCAAGTGGTAATTTTTAGTGAAAGTGGTAATTTTTTTTTTTGAAAGAGTTTGTTCTGTAAGAAGGAAAAAAACTTCTTTAAAAACTATTATTGCATTTCAACCCAAGCACGAATAGATATAGGTCTCAAATTGTATAGCCATGTTTTAGCTTTATCTTTTAATGAAAAAGGAAAAAGCTTTAATATAATGGTGTCAATGCTACAATTTGAGCCATTATACTAGTTGCAGACCTCCTCAAATTCTCTTAAATGCAAGTATAGATTTCCTAAATCTAAGCAATGAAAAGAAGGTAAAAGTTGAACAATGTTTAGCTTAAAATTAAAATGAGATGCATCCAGAAGGGAAAACTATGCATGATGGTGTACTTGTTCTTATGGGATTCATGTAGTCTCTAAGTGTTCTAACATGGTTATTCTCATTATTCTTATTATGAAGCTACTCGTTATCTTCTTGACACGACCAAAAACTTGACACGACCAAAAGATTGATATCTTCTCTTAAGTGCAGGAGTGTCAAAGTAATAAATAACCCGACAAGACTAGGGTCGAACTACAGGGAGGTTAATTGTATAAATTATAAACAATAATAATAAAACAACAACAATAATAATACTAATAATACTAACACTAATAATAATAGTAATACTAGTAGTAATAATAATAATAACACTAATAGTAGTAGTAGTAGTAGTATTAATAATAAAAAAGAAGAAGTTGATGAGAACTTTGAGATGGAAGATCAATGTGAGAATTAAACAATGATAAAAATAAATATCAAGGTTAGAGGATTCAAAAATAAATAAATAAACAAAATAAGAACATAAATAAGATAAAAGTTAACTAAGTAAAGGAAATGAAATGAAAGGCATAAACAAGATATTAATGAAAGCAAAACTTAAGCATTCAAAAAATACAAAGAGAGAAAGCAAGAGCATGATCTTGATTTGGAAACCAAGATGCATAAATCTATGACAAATGTCTCCTTTTATAGGCCAAATTGGAAACTATTAATTTGATGATTAATTGTTGGGTGGGTGATCAAATCTGGACTTAGTGACAATTCTTATCTTCTTATATACCTAAAATGTCATTGATAACATTCAAATGTGAACCAAACCTCCACATTAAATTCTAGAAAATTGTCTTAACTTTCCAAGAAAGAAATTGAGGTCATTTGAACTTCTAGAACTCAAGATTTGGGATGAACACTAAATAGTGTCTAAGCTGCAAAACAGATTCAGACTTCTTCGTTATTGCTACAATTTGGACTTGAAAACAGCCTTTTTAAATCTTGGACTCCCATGAAAGTTGTAGACCTATATCTTACCTTTCCATCCATATGAAGTAAAC